TCTAAGGAAATAATTTATTCATCATAACTTCTAATAGTAATAAATTATTTTCTGTTATAATTCTTAACATGTCATAATAATCGAACAAAAAAAGATTGCAATTACTTTATATGGTTGGATGATGTTGATCATGCAATATATGAAACAGAGAATCAATCATGAACTTGTGATAAGACGGCCATGAATAAGCTTGAGATCATCTCAATGCAGATCAAAATTAAAGTTGCTTTGCTCATTTTCGTTACTGATATGCTTATTTCTTTTTATTAAGATTCTGATGAATTTCATGCTTGTGTGAGGATCATTGGTGTTGTATTTTGAATCATTAATGTATTTTCAGATCGTATGCTCGTGTGAATGTCATTTGTGTTGTATTTCGAATCATTAATGTACCTTCAGATCATATTATTAGTGAATACATTCCAGCTTGTTTGTATATGTTGTATAAGTAGTGGGATAAAGTTAAGGAATCCCAAGCCTTTAGTTGCAGTCATCCAGGCATGCGACATTTACATACATACCATTCAATAATTATGTATTTACATATCTAACTCCTGAACTTTGCCCTCAACATTTATGCCACCCAAATCTTTCACATCAGATAAAAACTACCCCCATTTTAACTTTTAAAACATGCTACATTTACTCCTGAACTTTGCCCTCAACATTTATGTTATGCCACCCAAATCTTTCATATCAGATAAAAACTACCCCCATTTTAACTTTTAAAAACCGAAATATACATTTGCATGCATAACTAAGGTGGTATGTATGAATATACTAGAATTGAGTGGTATGCATGTAAATCTTCCGTATCTGGGGTGAAGAAGCAACTCTAATTACCATAAACTTTGATCTCCAGTTTGTTAGAAGTCAATATACTAAATTATTTTGTATTCTTTAAGAAAACATTTCAAAACTTCTGATTGTTCAATTTCAAATTTTGATCAGATCAGAAATTACGAATGGCAAAATTTCTAAAAAATCAACACTTCTCAAAGATTTTTAATACTTCAGCAACATGAAAACTGCACTTGACCTGCTCCATACTGCATGTTATCCCCCAAAAAATAATTACATCCCAAACAAACTGTAAAATTGTTAAGAAAACCCTGCCATTCCCAAATACTTTATCTCATCAGAAAGATAATTAGAAAAAAGCTCAGCCTTTACAACTAAATGATTCACTGGAATACAAAAGAATTCCTATGTATATTATAGAATATTACAAAATTCCTATTTTCATTTTAGAATTACTGTGTATTCACAAGAAACAAGGTCAGATAACTGAAAGTTCTGTGAAAAGAAGCAAAAATTAAACAAGTTCACCAAAAACACTATTAATGTGCTTCTATGATAAAATTCAACCTACAACATAACTTCTAAGCATTATATGAAAGCCCTGCTTATATAAAAATATTTTTCAAGTGTTTCTTTTAAATACAGTTATATAGTAATTATAAAACAAGGCATCAAATTCAAAAAAATACATTGTGATTATATCTTCAAAATAATGTAGGGTCAAAAGTATTTGATTCATGTGTTCTATGATAAAAGATCACTGCAATTTGCTTCCCCTCTCTTCTCTTCTAATTGGTAATTTAGCTCGGAATCCTGCTGCAACACCTGTGCTCAGAGAATAGTGGGTTTCTTAATCTTCCTCGGATGTCATCGCACCAATTGTGCTAAGAGGATTTTTGCATGTGCTTCTTTGGTGTCCACAAAGGCTGCACCTATTACATTTGTGAACATTCCTTGATTTTTTACTATTGATTTCCAAGGAATTTTTGAATCTCTTCTTCTTTGGCCTTCCATGAGGCCTCAAAGATTTATGTATGCTGATGTTACTCCATCGTACACTAGTTCCCATTGCTCCTTTCCTGGAAGAATTCAAATTACTCTGTTGTACGTCATTACATATCTGTAATAATTAAAAATTCATTAACAATTTGTTGGCACATATTTAAAAAATGAATGTAAATAAGATGTGCCTATTAATGTGGTAATGATTGTCAACATATATATGCCGCAAAGTGTGTTCTTTACTTTCAATAAAGGCAAATGCGTGAATGCAAGGCAACCCAATCATTTGTCAAAATATTAACTACAATCTATATTATCAATATTGACTCCATGCCTTCTAAAATGGTTTTCAACTTCAGCCGGCGAAAGAACTTTTTCAGATTCCTCCATAGATGTCATAAACAAACCTATGTTATGCATTAGGGAATACTTTTCTGATTGCTTCGCCAAGTCCTTTCTCCAAATCTGATCTGAAGGCTAGTGGATTTAACTTAAAACAAATACTCTCCGACAAATTTTCTAAGAACCGTTTTCATGTCTTCTTTGATTGACTTTTGATCATCACAAATGCTATTTTGAGCAAACCATTAACACCATCAAGACAGTTTGTTGATGACAAAACTCCCAAGTATTTTGATTTTAAGTGGCAGGCAACAGCTCCTATTAGGGATCTACAGTCTGCTAGGAAGCCATAAATACAAAGCTTGCAGATCACATAGAAATGTTGGAATGAACAATCAACAATCTCATTATGTAATATGAGAACCTGAATTTCTATTAATAGGCTCTACTTTTAATGCCGGCAACAACCTGTCATTATCTTCAACATCTCTAAATAACATGCTCCGAGCTAGTTCTTTCGATCATCAAATCTTTATATAAGGTAGTGATAATCCATAAGTAGTCTCTAAGTTGTTCTTAATATATTTGGGTGGGATGACTTCATTTTTCTTCACAATATTTCGTACCTTCTGAGCTACCTAACCAGTTGTTGCTGACTTATTCCCAGCTCTGTTAATGTCTCGGCATGAATGTGTTGCATGCAACCTTTTAAATTCAAAAGCCTACCCATCAGTACAAAGTGATGCCCGAATTCTTCAAGAGCAGTCTTGATGTGCGCAAGTGGCTATAACACGGTTCTTATCACTTGCTTTGATTTTAACTTCAAAATTATTTTTAATGCATTGGTTCGGAGATCTTGTTTAAAACTAAAGGAGTCATAAAAGCACACACCAACTGTTAAATCTTTGCATTCATCAACTTGGCCCATCAAATACGCATTACTCAAAGCTCCATGTATAAAATTGGAACCACCAATATTGTTTGGATTTGAATAACAGGGTTGCA